TATCATTACATGGCAAATCTTTTGTTTTTTTCATGCATGATGAAATCATATTCATTGAAAATATCTAGCTTGTAAAAGTATCTTTATTTGTGAGTAATCTAATGTGAACATTTTCACTTTATTTCAGCCAAGAATAGATGAAAAGCATGCAAAATGGTTACATTTACGTATCCGTCCTTCTACAGTTCCCTTTTTGGACACAGAAAAATACAAAGGGAAGACAAGAAAGTACCTTGTTGATGGAAGATGGACCCTTGCTTTTAGAGATGAGCAATCATGTAAGGAAGCAGAGACTATGGTTATAGAGGAGATGAAGCTCCAACAAGGTGCTGTTGGAGAACAGTTGAAGCTATTGCTTGAATTTGACATGCCTGAGGATGGGATTACAGGCATCCTTGCTCCTCTCATGAAACCACTTCGGATGATGGGTCATGACTTGCTAGAACATCATCGATGATCGCTCATGCCTTACTGGAGGTTTCATCATGTGCAGTGTTCGAGCTTTGAAAACATGGTGGCAGGAAAACCCCCGTCGCTGCCATCTCCGACGAGCAAGTCGGTCACGCTCTGTACATTACATCGGCAGATTTAGGGAGGTCCCCTTGTTGACACACTGTAGAGTTTCGAGTTTTGACTGTTTTTGAGTTAAGTTAGCTCGATAGGATTCTTTGTACAATAGTTTGTACCTGTCCTTTGTAATGTCATACAAATCACATTCCATTCTTTCATAAGCTTCAGGGCAGAGTTGGGCTGTGTACACTAATTGTTTGAAGAAATGTGCAGGCAATCATATCTGTTGTCAAAAGGATGCCCTGACTATAGTAATAAAATATGAATTTTGAGCTCCTCCATGATTTTTCTTTGTAGACCACTGCTTATGTATGAACTATTTGTTTTGTTTGCTTTTTCAGAGAAGAACTGTTAGCTTTGACAAGCAGGATGCTCAGCTAAACAAGACAACCAGATGAGCATCGGTTGTGCTTGTTGAATTCTACCCTTTGAACTGACGCTTGGAATTGAGTTTGATGTTCAATTGATTGATGCAACACTGGATGTCTGCTTCACAATGCAGGGTCTTGGTAAGATGATAGTCTTCTGTAGACCGAGTGTTTGGACTTTGGAGCAGGTGAGCAGCCGGTTCATCCATAAAATACTGCCGTTCATCGATCACTTGTGCAGAAAAATCTTTTCTGATATTATTCAAGATTTGTTCTTTGGATCATGTCTAACAAGTAGAGGTACGTTCATTTCACCAGAGAAAAAGAAGATCGAATCTGAATCATTCAGGTTATACTCTCGGTAGTTTGGAACACTCAAGGTTACATTGTCCTAAATTAATAAGTACTTTGGAGCACCCAAGAAAATTTTTTTAATCAAGGTTAAGGTGAAATTTAAATGAAAAATAATTGCGATTGGTCAAGACTATTAAACGGGTGAAGAAATGAAGTGAGAGAGAGTTGCGATATGGGATTAGATGGAGAGGTAGCTATATTTCAGGGCAAAATTGAAATGCTAAATTTAGTTATATTTAAAGATTGGCATCTGTCGGCACAGTTTGGTTCAAATCTTCCGTATATTTTTTTTTTCTTCCTTGCCTATCCCTACTGATAAGTGTCCATCCATCTCCCTTCACCTCTTTTTACTGCCTCTCCAAAGGCAAAAGTGGGGGTTAAAGCTTTTTTTTTTTTTTTGGGGGGGGGGGGGGGTAATTACAGGAAAAAGGGAGCTTTCTGATTGGCCTCTTTCTGCACCGAGTTGCCGGTAAATTTATGCACGCGATAAAATGGAGCTGCAAAAAGGAAAAGCTTCCTCTTTCCCGTGCTTAGCAACGACGACGACCATATAGCATGCCCGACCGACCGAGAGTGATCTGATCTTCCTTAAAAGTGCCACAAAAAGGGCTGAAAGATGGGGGGCAAGGACACCACAATGCCATGAGAATTCAGAAGCTATGCAGGGGTTGAGATAGGAATGGATAACCCTTCTTTTTCCCAAAAGGAAAAGCAAAGAAAGGGATTAGCAGGTTATGTGTGCATTGTGCAATGAGGTTTTTGATTTTCTTTTTTAAAATTCTCATTCAGTTTTCTACAGTTTGCATCAAACATAGTTGCGACATTACATAGTTGGCATCTATCAAAACATACAACAGGGTCATATAGCCTATTTACTGCAGATAAAAAGTCGTGGCCTTTCCTTTTACCAAACAACAGGCTGTCCCAAGGCCTTTTGCAAGGAGCATGCGACCAAAGCAGCGCTCTGCAGCTGAGCTGCATGCAGGGGAATGGCAAAAGCAAAGCAGAGCAGAGGGCAGAGGAAGAGGGGATGCGTCGTCGGTCTGGCCGGCAACCGGCGACAGAGAGGGGAGAGGTGAATAATGTGAATCCAATCCAATGAGAGACAAAGTGAGGTAAAAAATATGAAAAGAGAAAAGCTTGGAGGGGAGGGGCCACGGAATTTGTTTGTTTGTTCGTCCAATTGTCCCTCTCAAGCCCTTGGCATCCAACACATGTACTTCATCCACAGTCTCAAAATTTAAGTTGGGTTAGCCCCTATGTACTTTGACTGTTGATTTTTTTTCTCCATAATGTATTATCAATAACTACGAAATTTAGCATCGTACAGAAGTATTGCAAATATAAATATAAGATATAACATGACACTAAACATGTACCCTATTAGTTTAATTATTAGTAAAAAAATGAATTTTGACTTTTTTTCTGGTAATATAGGTGGCCTCATATTTATATTTTAGTATGGAGGGAGTAGTATTTACATGTAGAATCTACTGGCTGCTTCTTAGAAAAAATGATTGAGATTTACACAAAGAGAAATCAAGCAACCGATAAATAGGCCATCCATTTCACTACGGTTAGATATACGCCACATTTGTCAATTGTATTCACTTACAGTAGGCAACCATATGCCTTACATCTTATTAAGGATAAGTACATGTGATGTATATATATTTAAGGCGGAAATCCTAATGGACGGGTGATCGCTCCCCCATCCGCCCAGCGATCACCCCCTGCCCCTCCCCTATACTCAGATATACTCCTCCCTCTTCTCCCCCTTCCTCCTCCCCTTCTTCTCTTTCTACTACAGTACACCACACAATTTTTTTAAAAAAACAAAAGTTAGAAAAATTTATGTATAGAAATACTATATATAAAAATTTTGAATTCAAATTCAAATTTGAATCGGGTAGGTAAACTTTTGACTTATAAACTTTGGGTCTATAAACTTTAGGTGTATAAACTTTAGATGTATAGAAATACTATATATAGAAAATATTTGAATTCAAATTCAAATTTAAATCGAGTATATAAACTTTAGGTGTATAAACTTTTAGATGTATAGAAATACTATATATGAAAAATATTTGAATTCAAATTCAAATTTGAATCAGATATAATTCAAATTCAAATTTGAATCGGGTATGTAAACTTTTGACTTATAAACTTTTGTTCTCTAAACTTTAGCTGTGTAAACTTGAGTTGTATAAACTTTAGGTGCATAAATTTACTAAAATAGGAAAGTAATGCGGTGCCAAAAAAAGGAAACCAGTTAGGAGGGTAAAAATATACTTCCCATCCATTGGCCCGTATAATTTTCATCTCTCGACTTCATGTAGAGCCTTTCCATCAATTATTAAAACTATGTAGAATTCATTTTTATGTTCTTTTATCAGTATAACATATAAGGCACTGCATTGAAGAGCTAATGCATGACAGATGAAATTGAGTTTAGTACGATTATTCGAAGACAGAAACAAATAAAATAAATATTAAAAGTTTTTTTTTAAGAATGCTGATGAACAAAGTTTTTTTTTTCTAAATCTTACTCCCTCTGTTTCAGGTTATAAGACGTTTTGACTTTGATAAAAGTTAAACTACTTTAAGTTGATTAAGTTTGTAGAAAAAAAGTATTAACATTTTTAATTCAAGACAAATTTATTATGAAAATATATTCAATTATTGAATTGATGAAACTAATGTATAAACTTAGTCAAACTTAAAACAGTTTGACTTAGTAAAAGTCTTATAACCTAAAACGGAGGGAGCGTTTCTAGGGATTTCCACCTCTGATACGTGAGAGTGGGATCCAGACATCCAGTCAGTTTAGATTTTTTTTAAAGGAAAGTTTAGATCCAATTTTTACACTACATGAGTCAAGACCATAGACGAAATGGGCAGAGCAAAGTCTTACCCGGTTTTAAGACTTGAGGACGAATTCTAAGGTTGTATCATTTCTCTGAGATGTGAATTGGGTGTGATAATCATCTGACCAATTTCAAATCAAACTTCCATTTTACCTATCAATCTCAACGACATGTTTGCAAACAAAAAATAATTTATCTATAAAACTTTTATATACGTGTTCTTAACGATCTAAAAACAAAAGCTAAAAAAAACTACGATGAAAAGACCTACAAATTAACTCTAAATTTATGATTGAAAATTTAACTTTTGGCTGATAAGCATAAACATAAGCCAAAAGATGAGGCCTACCAAAATTTATCTTCACATGTGAGTTGTGACAGAAAAAAAAAACATTTCACATCTAGTGATTTAGGGGGTGTTTAGTTGTAGGGGTGTAAAGTTTTGGCGTGTCACGTCGGATATTATATAGGGTGTTACATGGGATGTTCGGGCACTATAAAAAAAACTAATTACAGATTCCATCAGTAAACCGCGAGAGAAGTTTATTAAACCTAATTAATCCATAATTAGCAAATGTTCACTGGGCAGCACGTTATAAAATCATGGAGAAATTAGGCTTAAAAGATTCGTCTCGCAAATTAGTCACAATCTGTGCAATTAGTTATTTTTTAGCCTATATTTAATACTTCATGTATGTGTTTAAACCGATGTGACTGGGTGTAAAAATTTGGGGTGGGATCTAAACATGACCTTACTCTTTGCATCACAGAGATTGCATTTTGTTTCTGACTTAAGACATGAATATAATTAAACCCCAGATACCCTAACACAAACCAATTTCAATTGAAAAGGAATTTATATAAATTAAACCCCCCCCCCCCCCCAATTCTCCATTTCCTAGTTCACAATTTTTTACATGCAAAGAAACTAAAACTAAGGACACTAGTAGTCTAGTCTAGTACACCAAAAGGGGAGCAAAAATTGGGTGGGCTCAGTCCACATGGACCCTACTCGGAAGGACCGAGCCCATGAACCCTACTGACTCGTGGGCCCCACCTCCACTGGGCCCCACCCCCAACACTACAGCCTTCCCGCCATTTTTGACCGTTGCCGCCGCCGGTTCAAACACCTCCGCCACCCACCGCTCCATCACCTCGTCGACGAAGTGCCCCGACGCCGCCGCCAGCGCCGCCGCCGCCTCGCCGTCGACGCGCAGCTCCCGCCCGCCGCCGTCGAGCCGCCCCGACAGCCTCTCGCGGACGGCGGCCGCGGCGCCGTGGTGGTCGCCGTCGAGGGTGACCACGCGCGTGGCGATGGACTCGAGGAGGAGGCGGTGGTGCGAGTGGCCGTGCTCGCCGGAGTCGTCGCCGCCGCCTTCGTGGGTTATGTCGCTCGGGACGCCGTCGTCGTCGTCGTCAACGTCTCCGGCGTCGTTGTCGTCGTCGTCGTGGGCGAAGAGGTTGAGGTTGAGGTCGAGGCTGTGGCCATTGCCGGCGCTGCGCCGTGCCCGTGCGCGCTTGCGGTCGCTTGTTGGTGGTGAACTGGTGGGCGTCTTCCTCTTGAGGTCCCCGGACGGCGGCGACTGCTCCGACGTGTACAGCCGTAGGCTGATGACGCCGCTGACCGCTGCATCGGCGAGCTTCGATGTCGTCATGACCACTACGGAGCCCGAGAGATCGAGCTCTTGGCCGCCGAACTTGTCCTTCAGAGCTCCGCTCCTCGACGCCGCCACGAGACATTCCACGACGTGCTGCGGCGCGCGCTCGACGTCGTCAACGACGAGCACGAGTTTGTTGCCGCCGGCGGCCGCCGCCATGGACGCTCTCGCGACGACGTCGGAGCGGAAATCGTCGGCGCACCCGAACTTGTTGGGATCGGCGGAGACGACGACGACCCGATCAGCTGAGCCGCAATGCGTCTCGGCGATCACCGCCGCCACCCGGCGCACGGCGGCGTGGTCGCTCCCCTTCAAGAGCAGCCAGACGCCCGCGCCCTTCGTCCCGTTCCCGCTCCGGGCGCCGGCGGCCACCGCGTCGGCGATCTCCGCCACGGCGGCGCGCTGCCACGGCACGTTCTTGCGCAGCCTCCGCTCCAGCTCGCGCGCCGCCGCGCCGTCGCCACCGCCGCCACCGGAGGACGACGCCGAGTCCGAGAGCGGGAGGCTGCCGAGCGCGAGCGCCGTCGTCACGTCCTGGCACTCCGGCTCCCTCAGAGAACTCAGGGACGGCAGCGCCGCCGCCGCCGGCGGCGACCACCGCAACGCCTCCATGCCCAAGAACCCCGCAATGCTCGGCTTGCCGCCGCCGTTCGGCAGCAAGCAAGAAGCTGACCACCATGGGAGGAGGCTGCTTGGTCCATTGCCATAAGCTCCAGCTCCAAACGACTGACCTGAGCATGGATCGCCGCCGCCGCAGAGATGAAGCTTTCTGCATAGCCTACTCCATTTCCTCTTCAGCTCGATCAAATAGTTCTCCTAAAATCACACAACCAAAATATCTCAAACATGAATTCCCCTCACTTTCACAATGCAAATTCCAAGAACTCTAAATCAAAACCTCTTCTGATCGATTCACATCTCTGTTTCTTTCTCCTACCTTGGGTGGCTCCGGCACGAGCCAGCCGGGGAGATTACCGGCGGCGCGTGGGCCCTCCTCGTCGGCGGCCGCCTCCGCCTTCACCGCCGACGCCTCCCTCTCGTAGTTGTGGCTGCACTCGGTGCAGAGTACCAGCAGCTTGTCATCCAGCTCGTTCCTCGCTGCCGGCTCGGCGGCCATGGCGACGAAAGGGCTAGCAAGCTGCTGCTGCTGCTGCTGGTGGTTGGTCGCCACCATGGCCTGCTGCACAGGCTCTCCATTGCTGGACACATGAACAGTATCAGTTAGTCTTAACAGTAGTACAAGAAAGTGAAACTCAGTTTGAAATTTGTCTCAAAATTCCCCAAAAATTGGAAAATGATACAGAACGGTATCCCGTTCAGACGGGACGACCTGGTACCTCTTGATACCCTATTCGGACGGGATGATACCTCTGAGATATCGCCTGATATATGAGGCATCATCTCTTTCGAACGGGATGCCGTCCGTCCTATAGCATTCCGAGACTAGGAGTGCATATAAAAATAACTATAGCAGCAGGTAAGAAATCTAGTGTGAATCTTTATCTGAATCCTTTACCCTGAACCAAATGTGACTTGATCTTGTGCATGAGAGACGCATCATTGCAAGGAAAAGGGCAAAAGACAGCAGCAGCAGCAGCACTGGAATAAGGCTGTGATGCCTTCGACTACTAAATTAGTGTAACATTTGTACCAAAAGGGGAGTGTTTGCGCCACTGTTTGCTGCATCAGAGAAAAGCCTTTTTTGCCGAGCAGAAACTGGCCAGGATTCAGATGGAATCTCTGCAACCCCAGCAGAGCCAAAAAAAGCCAGTACTAACACTACCACCTCCCCACATTCCCCATGAACAACCATTTTTCTTCTCCCTCTCTGAAGCCTGAACCTAAGTTTTTACTACAACAACTACTACTACTATCTTCCAGCATGCAGAATCTGAATCTTGAAAGAATGAAGAAGCCCCCCCCCATTAATGTGAAAAATATGCTTCAGGCATATTTGTCAACCTGTCATAATAGCTTACAAAAAGAAACTGTTCCCTAAGTCCTAAAAATATAGCAAGCTCTACCCTTCAAAATTTGGCCCAAAATATAAACTCATGTAACTATTTTCTCATTTCAACAAATCACAACCACCCCGTATTTTTCTGCACCCACTCTCACCTCGATCTTAATTGGTACTAAAACTCGGATGAATGCTTATATTTTAGGACAGAAGCAGTAAGCCGTAATAGTAAATGGATGGATGTTCAGAGAGATGGTTCTTGCAACATCAGATGACAAAGTGGTCCTGCTAGCTGTTCCTATTCCAGACAGCAACACATCACAAGCAGCAAAGCAAATGCTAAGCATAGCTGCCTGCATGCCCAACAGTGAGCTGACCACTGACTCTGATCAGCAGCAGCAGCAGCAAGGGAACAACAAGCTAGCAAGAAGAGGAGCCAACACAACAAAACAACACCAAGCACAAGCAGGAGGAATGGACAGCGAGAGTGTGACAGTGCCAGAATCAGGCTGCTGGGACACATGCAGGGACAAAGGAATGAACAGTAGGTGTTCGTGCAAATGGCGGACAAGGCAAGGGCGTAAGATTCATGGGGGTGCTCACGTACCTCGTGGTGGTGGCGACGGCGTGGAGGTTGTTGAGGGCCAGGCCGGTGCCGGCGCCGGTGGGGACGACGACGGCCTGGAGCGCCCACGCGGACTCCAGCGACGGGCGGCGGCGGCGGCATCGCATGTATGTCTGGTAGCTCGCCGTGGCGACGAGCCAGACGCGCCCGCGCGGCGGCGCGCTGGCTCGGAGGTCGCCGAGGAGGCGGCCGAGCTCGGCGACCATGTGTTCGACGGGGCTGTAGGACGAGGCGGTGTTGTGGTGGTCCGCGCCGGGGTGGTGGTGGTGGTGGTGGTCCTCGTCGAGCGCCCAGCGGAGGTCGCCGACGTAGACGACCAGGCCGCCGCGCTTGACGGCGTCGACGCTGCGGCGGAGCTCGGCGGCCTTGGCGTCCACGTCGGCGCGGCTCATGAGGCGGACGTGGACGTAGGAGAGCTGGAGCTTGAGGAGGTGCGCGCCGGCGAGCTCGTCCGGGACGTCGCCGCCCTCCAGCCGCCGCAGGAGCTCGCCGGCGACGGCTTCCGCCATTGACACCGAGTCGCCGACCACCACGGGGTTGGTCCGCCTCCCCTGCTTCCGCACCATCACCTCCAATACCGCCCTCACGTCCTCCTTGCACGACGGCACCGCCATGCCCGGCGAGCTCAAGAACGGCGCCGGCCACAGCATGAAGCCGCCGCCGCCGCCGCCACCGTTGCCGCCGACGCCAATGCTGGGGTCGAGGAAGAAGTGAGGTGGGATGGCCGGCGGCGGAGGGGACGATGAGGTGGACATCATGAGCGCGCTCTCCCCCTCGAGGTTGCTCTTGACGGTGGAGCTGGAGAAGCCGGCCTCGCGCATCACCCGGCTCACGCTGGGATCGTCGAGGATGGAGATGATGAGCTGGTCCAGCTCGACCTTGATGGCGAGCAACGGCTGCTGCTGCTGCGCCGTGGCAGCCACCGGCGGCGGCGGCGGCGGTGGCGGAGGAGGAGGCTGCTGCTGGAGCTCGACGCAGCCGCGGCGCTGGTTGGCCTGCGCGCGCTTGAGCGCGGCGACGAGCGCGTTGGAGAGCGTCGGGTTAGGCTGGATGAGCGACGACGCGAACGGCGGCGCCACGGCGCCCGACGGCGCGGACGACGACGGGGGCGGCGAGTGCGGCGCGGAGGTGGGCAGGCGGTTGAGCGCGACGTTGAAGCAGAGCTCGAGCGCACGGCACTGGAGCGGGTGCGCGGCCACCGCCGCCGCGGCGGACGGGTGCGACCGCAGGCACGCGCGCTTGAGCAGACCGTACGGCGGCGGCGCCGGCTGCTGCTGCGGCGGCGAGCACGCCGGGCTCAGCAGCGCGAACGCGACGTGGAGCGGCGTGACCTGCGCATGACCGCGGCGTCGCGCGATGCCGAGCGCGAGCTTGAGCACCGCGGCCGCCTCGGCGGTGAGCGACTGGTGGATGGTGTACGCCCCCGCCCGCATCGATCCCTAGCTCACCACCACCCCCCACCCCCCACACCAATCCAACAACAACCAGCTCGCCTTCTCTTCTCCTCCTCGACCACGTCGTCTTCCTCCTCTCGCCACCACCACCTTTGCAAGCTGAGGCAAGAAGCTCACTGCCACTGACTTCACTAGTTCACTACTACTCCTTTTATCAGTTTCACTCAAGCAATGCACTAGTAATCTACTACTAGTAAGGCTAAGGCAGCTGCATGCATGAGTAGCTAGCTTGTCTTTCTGCAAATGCTTTTTTTCTTTATCTTTATAGACTGCATTTGCATGGCAATGGCCAATGGCAAGATTCTCTCTCTCTCTAGTTTGGAGAAGTAGGAAGAAGGAGAGGGGATTGTTGGTTTGTTTGTCTCTTTATCGAGAGGATGTGCGTTTCGTCAGCCTTTGCTCCCTCACTCCGGCCTCGGCTACTCTCCCTTCAATTCTCTTTTCTTCTGTCTCGTGTTCTCTTCTGCCATAGCATACCACTATGCATTGCCATGGCGATGGCTTTGGCATGCATGCGGCACGTTTCCTTTGCGAATTAGGCCATGCATCGTCGATCGTTCGTTTTCAATTCAACAAACAGCTGCTGCTGGCTGCTGCTGCTGCAAATGCTAATGCATGCACAAAGTGCAGGGGGTGTTCCCCTCCCGTTCCATCCATTTTGCTTCTCCGGTTAAGGCACGTACTCACCCTCCCTATGTACCAAAAAAATGGATTTCTGTAAAATCCCAATGCAACGGTAATAAGTAGATGAAAGTACCAAAATAGCTAGTGATGGAGCCAGAATGATTTTTGAGACCTAGCAAACTTCAATATAACTATAGTATTTATTATCTTCTTGGAATACACAAGATGCGCATCTTTGTATTAGGAGAAATAAAGAGTATTTACAAATGGAGCCAAACAAGAAAAAAGGAGGGGGACGGGAAGATAGGAGAAGGACCAACAAACTTAAGCCTATTCTCGCGCCAATATAAGGAAACGATTTAAAGCAAGACCTAAATGGTTAGCACCGGCAGCGCCGTGTGTGCCAACCGCCAGAGAGTTGCTTCCGCCGGAGAGTTATAACAAATATAACTAGTATTTGTTATAGAAATTTCATTATCAATTTACTTATCAATATTAACATTTAATGGAATTTTCGGCGGCGAGCACTGGCGATTGCCCGAGCTAGCTGGGCGGTGGCTTCGCCACTTAAAGTATCCCTTATCCTATCTTATTATAAAGTTAGAACCTACTGAATCCTAAAACTCAACGTGCAAAGATGACACATCATCGTTCACTAACAATTATTACATCTTAAATATCTTGCAAGCATGCTATATTATCTATAATTCTATTCTATAATTTATTAACTTTTAGAGCTTTAAAATACAAGCATGTTAAATCATAACCCACATAATTCACATAATATTTCAATATATCTCTCCATCATTTTTATAATATCCTATATACCTGTATATTTTATCCTCACTTAGTTAATATTATTTCTCTCTTCTATCATTAATCCATATTACATCATTTGTTTTTAGCCATTGGATGACTAATCTATAGTTCAAATATCTTCATCCTTTCTTCTCTCATTAACATATATTTCCCCAATTGTTTTTAGCCCTTCTTTTCTTCTCTCATAAAGCCACATCACCTTACTTTTACATTTGAATCATCATTCTATATACTATTTAAATGATCATAAACCACATCAACTTATTTAAGCTTAGTTCGTCTAGCTATTTACACATTATTTCTACCTATTGTTATCATACTAAATTTCTACAGCAATGCGCGAGGTTTTACCTAGTTAATAAAAAAGTTATATTGAATGGTGAGTTGGTAGGGGTATTTAAGGGATGATTTTTTTATTTCGTGCGCCAAAAGTAGGTATGGATGTTGAATTTAATTCTTTTTGGACAAGGTTCAAATTCTAGAGTTAATTTATTTTTGACCAAGGTAGGGAGTACAAAATAATAGCAACATTGTTTAAAAAAAGGGTATCCCTTTGCCGTGGCTGAGTTTAGGAATAAACTCTTTTAACTTCTTTTAACCGAGAAATCAACTCTAGGTTAAGTATAAAACTAGGCATTTTAAACCCCACCTATATACATCCCTATACAAAACCATTTTGGCAAATAATCCTTTTGACTTTATAGGTGGTATAAAAGAGAATCTACCATTGCAGTAAGCTAAGGTAGCCCACGTCATACGTATCATCTATGAAAACTTATTCTAGAGGCGATTGCTATTAGTGACGGCCTCTACAAATTAGCTTTCCAAAGGCTGTCATTATTAGTAACTACGTCTACAATGTCCCTCTCTTGCTTCTCTATTATCAATCCCTCTCGAGTCTGTATCTCTCTGGCCTTGTACACTCTCTATGCCTTCCTCTCTAATGTCAGGGAACCTCCACTATTCTCTCTCGCTCCTTGTTGGCTCACCCTTTATTAGTGTTCTCTCTCTCACCAGATCCATGCTTTTCTCTCACTGCAGCTTGGGACACGGCACTGCCGGATCAGATGGAGGGAAGAGGGATGTATGTGTGTGTGGGGGTGTGTGGGGTGGGGGGGGGGGGTGGTCATCGAATCCTTATGAGAAGCATGTGAGGGTGGCAGTGCTAGAACAATGGTTATGAGCTAACGTCTACCCCATCCCTCTTCCTTGTCTACGCTGCGATGGGAGATGGAGTAGGAGGGCAACAACCTCGACTCTTCGATCCCCTACCTTGTGTTGGCAGTAGTGGTGGCGATTGTCGGATCTGGTCTTCTCTTTCAAGCTAAGTCTTAATTTATTCCTCCTCTCTATATTATCCTATCTCTTAGCCTTTTCTCCTAAATAGATCGGGAGGCCGACTGGAATCCACATGAACTCATCCACGGCGGTGGGGGTAGATCCACATGAGCTCATCCACACGGTGGCAAAGTGGATCAATGCAAGCTTGTCCCCGGTGGTGGCGGACCATGGCAAGCCTGTCCACAGTGGTGGCGGGCGAATCGAGCCCATCCATGATGGGAGTGGTGATGCCCTAGCAGCAATAGAGTACGAGTGAGTTTCTTTTAGGTTATAGAATGATTACCACGAGCGGACCTCTTATAAGAAATTAAACATAATTTAGCAGCCTGTGAAAGTAACTGTTTGAGTAGTCAGTAATGTATAACATTCTATTATAAAAGATGTATAAAATAGTTCCATGTCAGTAAGAATTAGATTACTTACATATCGAAAGAAAAGTGCCATTAAAAACCAGATTGGATTGACCTTAATTAATACTCCCTCCGTTTCAGGTTATAAGTTGTTTTGACTTTGGTCAAAGTAAAATTGCTTCAAGTTTGACCAAGTTTGTAGAAAAAAATAGTAACATTTTCAACCCAAGACAAATTTATTATGAAAATATATTCAATTATTGATTTGATAAAACTAATTTAGTTTTATAAATATTATTATATTTATCTATAAACTTAGTTAAGCTTAAAACTGTTTTACTTTGACCAAAGTCAAAATGACATATAACCTGAAAAGGAGGGAGTATGTACTTAATGGACATGGTTGTTAAGGGTTTTATTCCGGTTTTATTGGTGAAAATCGGTTTCTAAAGTTGGACATACGGTGATTGACATTGGAAATACTACTGGAATAATAATCCGAAATACATGTGAAGATCGTTATAATTAAAAGGTATTCTTAAAACATGGGAAATACAATCATTAATTTTTCAGCCTTTAGGTCAAGCAAAGCTCGTGCTAGCTTGACCTATCAACGATGGGATTTTCTACTTCGTTTGACCCAACTTTGAACACTCAGAGTGCATCCACTCAATGCCAGACTCCCTTATCTATCACAATGTCCATACGACCGTATAGGAGTTTATTTATTTATTTATTTTTGAAAACTATATGCTCCATCGGTTTGTCGTCAAGCAAACTATCAACAAAAACCAATGGAAAAAATAGAAAATATGTAATGATGACAAAATTTGGTTATCCATTTTTATACTTTTTTGTAAAAAGGATGAATAGAAATTAAGTACTAAATTAATATATACTATAATAGACATATATTCTACATTTTTTTTGGAAATTAATAAATAATACATATTTGGGGGAGTTCCTAGTCATTATTAACCAAACACATACCGAATTATTTCTATCATTGAAGTGGTATTTCACCATCCGTCTATATATGCGGCCAATTTTGACGAAAATTAAACTGCACGAGCTCTCGTATACAAGACTGTCGTTATATACCTAGTTCGATACAGTTACAAAGTTGCATGCCTAATCTTTGTTGGGAGTACTTGAATGCATATTCTCTTTTTCTTCTTTTTAGTAAAAAGAAGAGCAGCGCGTGATAAGGTGATCAGAACTTTAAGCGCCAGAAATTAGATGGCCTTTGTGTTTCAGGGTGTGCTCTTTATTCAAATACATGCACTAATATATTTGTACAATTCTTTATTTTGAAAAAAGGAACTTTTTTGTAGCGGCTTTTGTGTTTGCAGTTTTTTCTCACTTTCTTGGTAGGGCAAAGCTAATAGACCCTGACCTTGGAAAAATGCTGGTCAGTATCTATTTTCTGGGCCTTTTTTAACATTATAAAATAAGTTAACTAGGTATGTATACTTATAAGTTGCAAAGTGGGAACAAATAAATTCGGGAGTGGTTTCTATAATTGCCTGGTACAGGAAACGTTTATACATGCGTCTAATATCTAGTTTTCAAAGGCGTTTAGCGAGCCTATGTAATTCAGCTTATGTAGAAATCGGTTATTCCACATGCGTAAAATAGCTCTCGTGAAAAACTATTTACGCAAGCGATATTTTAAGGACCGCCTGCGTAAATGGGTCGTCGACATATAGGTGACCTATAACATGAGGCAGCCCTAAATTTAAGCTCCCTATATATGGAAAAGAAGCACAATATACATATAGGTGTTTTTCTCATGCATATTAACTCTTTAGGAGTTAAATTGGTTTTATGCTTAATTAATAATGAAAAATCCATTCTCTTTAAAAAATAATTTGACATGCTTCTCGTAAAATTCCTAGTCAGCCTTTCTTCTCGTTTATTTCTACTAAGAATTGTACAATAGTACATCTTGATTTTATTTTTCTATTTTTATTATCACACAATCTATTTAATTTATGGAGAGAGCCAGCCATTTTTCTGCTGCATTTTATTACCTTGATCACAACCGTTAGCTAGGAAAGATGTCGCTCATTTTGATGCTAATTAACACGTTTCGACAAAGCCCTAGCCGATGACGAATAGAGTAATGTATGCCCAATGTCGTACTAGCAGTAGACTGATCGAAGCCGTCATTAGCATCAAGGTAGCCTTTTAATTTGGTTCAGACATTCTGCCTTTTTGAGGCTTTTGCTAAGGGATATTCAGAAATCGAGCTGGGCTGGCTGGGCGTGAGAGCTAAAGCTGTACTGTCACTCAATTTCCAAAGGTTGCCGAATTTGACGTTGTAATGGAATGTCTCTTTTTGTTCCCCTCGAAAGCACAACAAGCTCACTAATTAAGGAGCTGGTGGTATGGTTTAGTGTGTAAGTGGCAGACATCGGACAATGGTGAGATTGTACA